CCGACAAACGCTGCTTTGAAGTCTCTGATTTATAATATCTATTAAATCTTTAGAAATATTTTAATAGAAGCAGATTGAAGAATCAATGAAGAAGCTTCTTTCAATTTATTTCTGAGGCAAAAGCGATTAAAATTGGATTTATTTTGTTACGGTTTAATTTGGACTTATGATAGGAAATATTTTGGTAAGCTAGATGATTCTTTGGAAAACATATAAAGTTCAATATTGGTAAACAATCAAATTGCGAAAGTTTGAATCTTTTTCAATATTTTCTACCAAAAACTTCAGAAATAGTTAAAATATAAATAGCTAAGATTGAGACATCAGCATCAACACTGCAGAGTCTGGAAAGAATTTAAGTTCTCATCGTTAAATTAATTAAATTCTTTATTGTTATAGTTTCACATAATTTGTTGGCAGAATGTCGTTTAATATCCAAAATAAAAACGATATCACAAAGCTCCGCGTTGTTATCATCAAAATATTAAATAAATAGAAAAGAATAAACTTCACATTTAGCCTGAAAATTATGATGCATAATATTAAGCAAATAAAAAATCCAATTATGGCGTTTAGTAATGCGAAAAATATGTCTTTGTCATTTTATTCGATGTCTTTTAAAATTAAAATTTATTTTATGTTTACCGGGAAAGAACAAACATCAGTTTAGAGAGTTGGAGCTATTAACAAATCAACATCATTTAACATTTTTTTTACTCTTTTAATGTTTTACTTAATGAATTTTTATTGCTGTGATAAGAGAATTTGCTAAGCCAATTTTAAAACTGGTGGCATTTTTAATGGGAATTTTATGATCATACTTACGTTGAGTTATGGGCAAATCATTCAAACGATATCAAATTTTAATGCGATTAAATATAAAAGACATCCACTTCCTTTATAAATACGTACTTTTTAAAATTTATATTACATCGTTTTTCTATTTAACAATAAAATGTTTTTAACGACTTACACTCTTGACATCGCACCGGGTCTAAAAGATTGTAAATCATCAAATGAAGAATTTTTATTTTAAAATTCAATGCTTTCCTTTTTTTAAACATTTGGAGATGTTTAAAGTGGTCTATAAATTGATTTTGATGAGTTAACTGCGGATTGACTTGAATTTTGGAAAGATTTTTGAGTTAAAATTGGATTAATGAATTAAAAAATGTTCAAATTGTTCGAATTTGAAAAGTTCTTTTGAATTAAAATTTGAAAAATTCTTTTTAAATTCAATTTAAATTGGATTAATCAAAAACCTCAAAAAACCAATAAATTTAAATCAATATCCACTCCAAAAACACACCTTATCAATCACTTTTTACTGCCTCTCATAAGTAAATTAATTCTACTATACAAAAAACCCATAAAATTTCGACATTTTCCCAACTGTTGTTTTGTCTAAACTCTCGTTATAAAATCAAGAACAAGTCACTTTAATTAAACATCATGTTTGTTGATATTTTTTATGTTGAACAAATTTTTATTTGCTGTTACGCTGACATTTTTATGGGCCTGATTTTAAACGCAATAAATAATGATGAATTCAACAAAAAAGTCGAGCTTTTCAACAATTTTAAGCTTTCAAAGTTGATCGTGAATTTAAAAATGTTTTAACCGTTACGAAAAGTTTAAAAACTGATCATGAATTCAATAAAAGTAATTCACGCATTTTAAAAACATTAAAAATTTATCATTTTTCACATGTTTATCTATAAATGATATTTGCGTATAACTTAAACTTGAGCATGAAATAAGGAAGCTATAAAAAGTCAGCTGTTTGCATAATTTTGTTTACTGTATACAGTAAAATTAATCATGAACAATACTGAAATTAGATAATTGAAAGTTTCATCAAAAAAACGCATTTACAGTAAAAACTCATGCACCTTGTAAATTCCTATTAAATTAAATTTTTCCTTAATAGCATTTATTCATGCTACATTATAGCACATAACTCTATGCAATTAATTACTTTTCTGATCATTGTCAAGGTCATTTTTATTTACAAAACACATTTCTTGTGGTTCCGTATGATTTAAATGGAATTTGCATAAAGTGGTTTTACTGGTCTTTCAAGTGGATGATCACTGTGAGAAAATAAAGGAACAACAAACCTCAAAAAAAATTCTAAAATGTCTATGTCAATTTACAAAAAAATAGTTGATCGATTCTGATGACAAAGATTTTAAATTAATGAGATATGAAATTCGAATTGAGGTCGACTAGCTTTTTTTTAAGATGAGAAAATTTAATTATAAACAGGAATAATCAAGTATTGTGTGTAAGGGGATCGCATCACGATTAAACTATTAATTATTGTATCATGAAAATGAAATCCTTGACTTGATGACTCACACATCACACGACAATCTCATGCATATTTACAGCGAAAATTTAATAAACAAAATTGATTGTAAATATGTGAACTGAAAATTAAAATAGTAAGTTAATATTGATGATAGTCAACAGTTGCACAGTTGAAGTAAATTAGTGAGTAGCTTAACATTCTCGACATTTTTTGCTACTCTGTTGGTGATTTTGAGTTGTTAACGAGTTTTTGGATTTTGAATAATTTGGAAACTTATGACATTTTTCAACGTTTTTTAAAATTTTGTATTTTTAACGGTATATTTAAATTTGAATTTTGAAGGGTTTTTAAAATTCGAATTTCCAACAGTTTATTAAATTTGAAATTTAGATTTGATTTTTGAAATTAAAAGCTGCTTATACAATTTAAAATTTGAACCGTTTTTTAAGTTTGGATTTTTAAATTCAAATTTGAAGCGACTTTTCACATTTAATATTGTAAAGACTTTTAAAATTTTGAACCTTCCAAAATGTAGCTACTCAAAAAATCATCAAAACCTCCCAAACCGACCATAAAACTCAATCATGCATAAAATTACGCTCAGAACATTACAATCAGAATTTTAACAAGATACTTCACATCATGTAAAACTGCGGAGCAATAAAACTATTTTTCAAATGATATGCAAAGTAATGAATTATATTAATTAGCAAGTGCCACAACATCAAACATCCATGTCTTTATTGTTATATCAAGTGAACCACAGGAACCATCAAAAACCTGTTTTGCTTACAAAAATTTACATCAAACAATTAAATCATGACACGATCAGTGCTGTAAGTCATCTAAATGCATACATGTTTGAAAGTTTCATCGTTTACCTTTTCAAACACTTATTACATGATAATTAGTCACTTCTAGCTTCTATGCTGTGTACTATTTTAAGGGTTCGAATGGAATAATTCACGTCATTCCGATGCCTCATATTTAAATATCTCTTTAATTCCAAATATACTCGTGAGAATTTTCTTAATCGATATATATATTTTTGTTTGTGGATGGAAATAAGCTGCTTGTTAGTAATAATTTATATTTATAGAAAATCATGCACGCAAAATGTTTTTGATTCTCATAAATCATTCTATTCATATTATGATAACTAGAATTGAGTACGGACAATTTAAAGACACTGAAAATGGTTTGGGAAAATATTTATTGAATGATTTTGTGGATGTAGAATTTATTTCTCATTAGGGAAATGATAATTGATAAGTTTTAAAAATTAAATTTAGCTGAAAACTGAAAGTTTGGAACTAATCAATCAGTTTTGTTGACTATTTTGATTATTGTGATCAAAAATGATAAAAATAAGATCTGCACTTCTGTTCCTATGCTTGAATTCAGCAGGTAAAAGAATTTGTTCAGCTAAATTAAAAGACATTGTTTTGGAAATTAATTCAGCTCATTCAGCAGATTTGAGTTGAACTGACCAGCCTTAATTCAGCTGAATTGATCAAATTGTTGCGCAATTTAGCAAATTTTCATTGAGTTTAACACAATTTGGTTGAATTAAGCTGAATTCAAGATTTGAATCAAAACTGAATTAGGTTTAATTGAGCTGAATTGGATAGACACTGAAATAGGTTTTGTTCATAAATGATGTCCAATTTTTGAGATTAGGTTTTTAGACAAGTTTGTTTTAAGATTCAATATTTTGGAAAATTAGTCATGGATTCTTCAAATCCGAGTCCAAATATTCCCACATTTAATTCTATTCTAATTATTCATGATTTTCATGACCTTTAAAACTTTACATAGTTCAAATAGAACAATTCTTAGGCATAAACTTCCCCATTAAGTGCCAAATTAGCCAGAAAAATCAGATCATTAACACCAAGATCAAAGATCCAGAAATATTCCATTTAAATCAATTAAGATCTATCAGTGTCCAAAATTGTCTGTGAGACAATGCTGAAAATTATACAAAACAAATGACAATAGCTATAGCTAATAGAAGGGTCCAAAGGAACATAATTATAAATGACTTAATATGATTTTGTCTTTTAAACAAAACAAATTGACAGCTTCTGTTAAAGAATTTTCCCATGACTTCAATGTAGTCAGTAAATAAAGTCCGTTCATTGATTTCTTGACTAACGATATAAAGCAATTAACTTTAAATCTGATACAATAAATTATTCTTACTAATGAAGCGTTAAAAAATTGTTGCGGTGATGTATTTTGAAGCTACAGAATGACCTAGAAATATCACGTGCATATCCAGCAGATAAGCATTGAACCATCTTCATAAGCAGTCATAAATATGCTGTGAGCATGTGTGAGCATCAAAACGTGATCTCATATGAAATTCATAAGCATGCGGTACGAATGAAAAACATTTATTGCATAATTATCAGCTATTGTTATACTTCTGTAAAGCTGCAGATATTTTTAACTCAAAACTCTAATTAATTAACACAATGGAGTTGAGGCACATAAGCTAATAATAATCGGCATTCTACACTTTTAAATAATCGTTAATAAAGTATTCGCAACAGATATTTTAGCATCGGGAATCATTCATGAGTGATGTATCTTCAATATATCATTCTCTGCAGTATTGTGACACTTAAGTCCTTAAAAAAAATTAAAACAAATATTTTGTAACAGGTGGGATCTAAAATTCCAGCAGACATCATTAACGGACGATCCCCAATTCAGTCATTCAATTGTTTTTGCGCCTCAAATTTGCATTTTTTGATTCATCATCACATTGAGGTTGAGAAAATAAACTTTTTTTCAATTATATCCATGTAAGTTGATGATAATACAGGTGTATGAGTGCTGATGGAACGACTTTTAATAGTAGAAACAGATCTCCGTTCTTATCAAGCATTTCAATCTTTTCGTAGAATCCATAAATTACGAATACAATTACTGAAATTATTACGGATAAATCATAAGTTATATACGGGCACAGGAGACATTTGGAGCTTAACATCTACAACAACAAAAATAAGAGTAAAAAAATAGGGGTCGATCATTTATGACGTCCAGGGGGGGGGGGGGGGGTCAGCAAGAAAAGAATAATAGAAATTCCTGAAAATCCATCGTTCTTTTTTGAAAAATGACCGTTAATTTTGGACGTCATAAGTGAACGACCCCTGAGAGAATCAATGATTAATGTGCTGTTGAAATGAATGAATTTTATTGGAATTTGAATTTAAGTAGTTTGAGGAGGTTCAGAAGGTGTCAATATATTAGAGATTTTGTTATAGGACTGACTAGAAGTGATTGGTAGCTAAACAATGTAAGATAGCTTTGAATTGCTGAATATTAAAATATTCTAAGCTGATTTTTTACAGTCATGCCTATCAATTTTGAAGTTTACTTCCTATTTCTCGTTGATTACCCCTAAAGGGAGTTATTCAAGGAAATCATAACCTCAAATGTTTTCATAATTCTTAGAGCTCTCATGATACTATAAATTTAAGAGATTAGGGGCCGTTCACTTATGACGTCAGGGGGGGGGGGGGGTGGTCAGCAAGAAAAGAAAAATAGAAATTTTTTGTAGCCATTAATTTCGGACCTTATAAGTGAACGATCCCTTAGACAATGCTGAAATTCTATTTTTGATGAGGAATCATTTTTGATCAAATTAAAATAATTATTAATCAAGTGATTCATAATTTCTGAGTCATGAACAACGAAAGCAATGAATAATAATTTAATAAGGGTTGAGTGATATAACTTAAGCATTGATACACTTCAGTTCATCTTCCAAGAATGGAATTTTGTAAGCTGTAGAGTCATTAATGCAAATTTTGACAATTTGATGTTACTCTGACATCAGGTTAGGAGCTGTTTATTCTTAGTATCCAGATTTCCTGTTATCGTTGATGCAGAATCACTTTAATAAGCTTTATCCACAGCAAATAATCTCTTAAGCCGTGATTTACAATCGATTATAATGAACCGACTAACTTGACATTTTTCCCATCGAAAAAGCATCTTCAAAGCAACTTAATTCAATTTCCTCTATAGCCAATAAACAAACAAACAATGACAAAAGTCACCAACACCTTCACCTCAACAGCCATCTCAAAATATGTAAATGACACAATGAATCGCTTACCTTTGTCAATCCAATGACGAAAAATATTGATAAAATAAAGTATGTACCCCAGACGAAGACCAAGAGTGTATTTATTAAATAACATTTTTCTAAAAGTAATCAATATTCACATTAGACTGATAATTGTTTATGACTATCTCATCCAATTTCACCTTGAATTATTCGCTGTTCTTTGACATCGAGATAAGTCAAATTTAGATGTCCAAATACTGCCACATAATAGATATTGGTGTCAATGTTTTGGGCAAATTGTTGTGTATTTGTATATCGATGATCAAACATTTTTCCATAATTTATTGAGGCATATGAAAGAACAGCCCAAACCATAAGTTCACAGCACATATAAATTTGTAAAATTTTTCGCGTATTCACATTTATTGTGTAATTAATGAGACTCAAATTATGTTTCATTTTACTATTTCCAATTAATGATGATCAACTGACGATATTAAAGATGAGACAAACGAATTTCATTTTTCTTTTATTGACTCAAGTGTGTCTCTCAGCAGCTCTGTGTGTCAGTCGATATAAATGAAACTTAAATAATACGTTAAGGAGGTTGAATTGATCGAAAAGAAACGCACTTGCAAGTGATATTGCTTTAAGGTGACTGAAAAGAATGCAAAAAGAATTGAAATAATTTTTTGGAGCTTGTTTGTAAATATTTTTGTCATGTTTTTGCATTGGCCATAATAAACAGTCAGTGTTGAAAAATTAATGAATAATATTTATAGACAGAAGCTAACTTGGATGCATGCTTTAAGCTATTAAAGGTTCTTAAACTGAGGCTCGATTCTTCCTGTACCACAACACAGTTCCCTTGTGTAGCTTATTCCAAAGATTTCAATGTTCATTTACCAAATTCCTTTCCAAGAGAAGCAAAACTTAATTCATATTTGTCATCATATTCCCATACATATCTAATTCATCAGTTTTAGTCCCAACCGTACCTAATTTTTCGGTCAAGAGCACCTCTATTTCTTGTTTATAAACCGCATTTCAAAACAATTAAAATTGATGATCAACAAGCTATAGCTGTCAACTTTTGTCATTTTGCGGCAACCTGCAATGCATTCATGAGTATTTTGACTGTCAACTTATGTGGTAGAGTTGTCAATGAAAAAGGATTTATTCTGAAATATAATAGAATATAAAAGAAGTTTCAATGTAACAGGTGCCTTAAAGAAACTTAAAAATTAAACATACAGATATTAACGGTCATTCTTAATTTGAAAAATATGAATTTAACTGACAAAACACAATATTTCGAAAATATGAAAATTTGATCATCTCAGAAATAAAAGTGTAAGAAATAAATAAATAAAGTGATTTTGTGTAATTAATTTAACAGTAAGTTGTGACAAAGAGTGATAGAAGTGACAAGACAATTGGAAATGGACTTAAATGACCCTATGGATACATCGGAATTTGATCTTTTGCATGAACTGGACATAAGGTAAGCTTTTAAATTTATTTTTAACTTGCTCAGGTTGAGATGATGAAAATTCTGTGGAAAAAGTAAACATCTAGGACGGGAGATGGATATCAATTAAGTACTGGCAATAACATTAAAATTCATAAATATTCTAAATCTCCTATCACTTTCTTGCCATTAACATAGCAATTCCTCGATATGTGTTTTTACAGTTGAAGAGGAACTGAATAATTGGTTTATTTCTTTTATACAAGATTTTGTGCTTATTATTGATTATCAACATTCAATGTCCTATTTGACAAACTGTTTGTTTATGCTTATTATTAATTATCAACGTTCAATGTTTTATTTGACAAAGTGTATACATAGACTGACTATGAATATACTGTGCTTATCTTTGTCGAATTATGCATCAGCTGATTATTTTTAAAGTACAGAAAATTATTAAAAGTACAAAAAATGATAAAATATTGATTTTTGCGAGGATCACCATCTGTCCCTGATTAAAGCATGCTAAAATCAAGACATTCAATCACTTTACTGTCTACACTTTTTGTTGTGAATCCATTAGCTTTTTAATCAATGATTTGTCAACTGTCCTTCTTAAATTCGCATCTAAAGCGCGTTTTAGGAAGCCTAACCCATGTTAGTTCACATTGAAAAAAATCTATGCCTACATGTCTCAGCTATTTAAGTTAGAATCAATCACAACATCATCAACTATTTCTGATTGATGAGCTAAGATCCAGTTTGCTAATTTATTGGATATTCTCTCTTGTCTTACTTCTTCCATCCATAAAACATTTTGGCATTTAAAATATGTTCACTTAAAATCCAAACATTTGTCTTTGGTCATCCACGTGAAGGCATTAAGATAAATTTCCATAACAAAGAAGTGCTAAAGCATCAGATAAAGTCAATCGACTCTCCTCAACATGACTTTGAAATGATTCAGTCATTTTCGAGTGATTTGACTTGACTTGAGAGATTGACATTATATAACACATTAATTTTGGATTTAATAGATGATTAATGTCATAATATTTAAATCCATACACAATGATACAGCGATTCCAGTAGAAATGCAATGTGGTTGTCCTGATTTACTTCATTTGATTTGAGGTTTGGTGTCAGGTGTATGGGAAAGTTTGGGATATGCTGAATGTTTTTAAATTGCTGTAACATTGTAAATCAATGTCCAAAAAATCAATAAAAATGTTTTCCTGCATCAAATATTGAAATCTAAGCTTAAAAACATAGAAGTGCTACTTTTTGTGTGGGATGATCAGCACAAAACAGGTGATTAACAAAATAGAATACAGCATAGTTCACTTATTACGTTCGCATTTTAGGGGGGAGGGGGGGGGGGGGGGGGGGTTTGAAAAATTGTAACAAAATGTAACATAGGGGGGGGGGGGGGGGGGAGTGTCAAGAAGAATGTAACGTTCTAACGTCGTCTGTCTTTCAAAAAAAAAAGTTCTCGGAAAAAATTTGAATTATTAACATTCAGGGGGGGGGGGGGGGGGGGTTGTGAGTTGTAACATGTTGTAACAAGGGGGGGGGGGTGAAAAAAAGTCGGTTTTTTACGTAACTTAATAAGTGAACGGCCCCATTCTGTAAGTCATCAAATAAAGTCTAGCTGAAAAGATGTGGAAATAAAATGCGTAAATACGAATACCAGTTGTAACTTACCAGCTTATCATAAAACGCAAAATAATATTCAGTTTGACAATGAAATACTTTTATTGTGTCTGTATTATGAATTTATAATTATGCAATGCACTTTTTTGTATAAATTTATGTGCCTCCAATGTCCGCGGAACGAGAGAGAGAGAGAGAAAGAGAAACAAATAAAAATAAAAGTTAATCAGCATAAAACTCATCGTCGTCGCTTCTTTCCATTGCGTCATATTGAAAGCGAAAGAAATGATAAAGAAGAAAACAATTTCATAGGCACGTCTGTTATATCTCTCAGTTGTTGTATGCAAAAGCATTTAAGTCTTCTGTTTACTTCTCAGCGTTCTCTTTCCGTTCCGTCTTCATTCATTCATTTCTCTGAGCTCGCGCCAAAGTCAAATAAAAACGACTCATTAACATAGCGTACATTCCTTACAAATGATAGTTTGTGGTGATATCATAGTAAATCATGTGAGGGCTTCTTTTGGGGGTCATTTACTGATGATGGATGGAACTGTAGATTTATTTTCCCCTTGCTTTTGATTTTATTTTATCTCGGGTTTTTTTGGATTTGTAGGGTTTTTGAATAATTTGTACAGTTTTTGTAGAATTTGTATGGTTTAATTGTTTTTTATTTGAATTCTAAGGTTTTGGAGGATTTGTAGGTTTTCAGTTTTTGTATGGTTTTGACAGCTTTCAATTTGGAATTGTACGGTTTTAATTGTTTTAATTTAGAATTGTGAGGTTTTTATATATTTTAATCGTCTGTATTTAAGCTGATAATAAATTTGTACGGTTCTCAACATTATTTGTATAGTTATATACATTAAATTCCCATTTCAGACCTAATATCTAGTCAACCCCACTGAAATATATGCTCACTTATTATATCTGCGGTTTCAGCCTTACAATAGGTCATTTGCTGCTTTTTTTGTGTGTTTATTCGTAAACAAAACTTGAAAGAATCATTCAATTGTTTTATTTAGTTCCAGAAAATTGCTATGTATCATAAAGTTTTGCGAAAAAGGCAAAGCTGATTTACATGATTATAAAAAGTTTTATTTGATGAATGGAAAGACATTGAATAGCATGCAAAATTGGGGGGTCTTCGCACTTAGTAATATGAGATATTTTCCAGCTATAATCAAATTAGAGATATGAGAATCTTTTACAAAGAATCAAGCTGGTTAATCACCGAAAAAATGTGAATGTTGAGGGTTCACGTGACAAACTTGTCATCCTCAATAATGGATGTTGATACAGTGGGGGAAATAATTATAGGCGAATGGATATTTTCAAAATTCTCGAAAATATAAACATTTTCAGAAAATATGTTCTATGTGAAATTTGTGCAGCTTAATATGACGAATATCCCAGCGAAAAATTTTTTTAATTATATTAACTAGAAAAAAAATAACGGCCATTTTTTGAAAAATATGCGTTTCGCAAGTGGAAATAATTATAGGCGAATTTTGAAAAAAATTGTAAGATTTTACTTTAAACTTGAAATTCACTTGAGTTTTCAATTGATTAAGTTATTTAAACATTGTATCAATCCAATTTGACATTATACGCACAATAATTAATGATTTAAATATATAAAATTTGGTCTTGAAATTAGCAAGGAATAAAATTGCAAAAATCAATGTTTTACGCCAATTTGGCAACGATAACTCCTCGATTGCATATGAAATAATTAGATTTTATTGCAATTAACATAGCTCAATAAAAATTTGGTGAAAACATAGTCAGAAAATGTAAAAATAAAGAAAAATTTTGATCACATGGCCAATACAAAATGAGAAATTTTTAAAATTTTCACTCAAATGAAAGTTTTGGCTACAAACTAAGGATGACTTCTACTTGCTTTTATCATATCTATGTTTTAAAGAAGATATTAAAAAGATTGAACAAGATATATTTGCAAAAATTGTAAAAACTTTGGTCAACTGGAACACATGACCTTGCAAAATCATAATTTGTTAAAAAAAGTTATAGTATCTTAATATATTTAAGATATTTAATATTTAATTATGATAATAGACAAATTATGTAATAACTGATAGTTTTGAGTGTTATTAGGATCATTTTAACAAGAATTTAAAAGCTTGCATTAAACGAGAATTTTATAATCATGCGCTTATTCGTAAATTGCGTTTTTTTGCAAATATATCTTGTTCAATCTTTTTAATATCTTCTTTAAAACATAGATATGATAAAAGCAAGTAGAAGTCATCCTTTGTTTGTAGCCAAAACTTTCATTTGAGTGAAAATTTTAAAAATTTCTCATTTTGTATTGGCCATGTGATCAAAATTTTTCTTTATTTTTACTTTTTCTGACTATGTTTTCACCAAATTTTTATTGAGCTATATTAATTGCAATAAAATCTAATTATTTCATATGCAATCGAGGAGTTATCGTTGCCAAATTGGCGTAAAACATTGATTTTTGCAATTTTATTCCTTGCTAATTTCAAGACCAAATTTTATATATTTAAATCAGTAATTATTGTGCGTATAATGTCAAATTGGATTGATACAATGTTTAAATAACTTAATCAATTGAAAACTCAAGTGAATTTCAAGTTTAAAGTAAAATTTTACAATTTTTTTCAAAATTCGCCTATAATTATTTCCACTTGCGAAACGCATATTTTTCAAAAAATGGCCGTTATTTTTTTTTCTAGTTAATATAATTAAAAAATTTTTTCGCTGGGATATTCGTCATATTAAGCTGCACAAATTTCACATAGAACATATTTTCTGAAAATGTTTATATTTTCGAGAATTTTGAAAATATCAATTCGCCTATAATTATTTCCCCCACTGTAGCAATTGTCATCATAGTAGAACAATGGATTTGGATTGTCATTAAGAAAAGTAATTGTTAAATGATGGATTTCCCTCACCTGCCTCACCTCTCTGACCGTGTATGACTACATTTAGTCGCACATATATTTTTTTACTATTTGTTTAAACCTCTAAACTGCATATAACGGATGAAAAATTATTATTGATTTGTTTTAATGAGTTCCAGTGCCTTCAAATTATCCGGGCGATAATAAAAATATATTTAGAACAAAGATCAATTTGTGCTGAAGCAATTAGTTCCATAAATAAATCATTTTTATGACTTAATCCACGCCTGGACAGGGATGGACTAAAGGGACAGTCTAGAGAAGGAAAGCATGGAGATTGTAAAAATTCAAGATGAATCAAAGTGGTTCTAAGGAACTAAGCAGCCACAATTACGAAGGAAGCCTCAACATACACCCCTGACACCTTAACAAGTTCAAATCACTTGACTACTCTTCCCAACTCTCAGAAATCTAAAACTAATTGAACTTGAAATCAGCAATAAACAGCCTTATTGATTTGCCGATTCTCCAATGTGCTAATAGAAGCTTGCAAACGATACACATGCTAATGAAACACCATTGATTGGAAATATTTCGATAATATTCGCATGCTTTAAATCGTAAGCGCATTTAAAATGATTGATGAATTGCTTTAGTATGCTAAGCAGTAAAGTCATTACTGGATGTTCGATTAAATGATCTTTGTTCAATATTGATTGTTGATTTATTGTTAACAAGTGGATTTTCATTGAAGTTCTGTAGAGGAACTTGTATGTAAGTTTTATGGATGTGATATAATGAGCTGCTTTTAATTAATATGGAACATGATTTATATTTTGGGATTTTCCGCTTTTTCGCGTGCTGGCTGCTGTTTAAAAGGTTTGGCGAGGTATTTTTACATTTGCTGGGTTTTAATGGAATTTGTAAGGTTTTAATGAGTGCTAGTGATGGAATTGTAGGGTTTTATGAATGAATTGTACAGCTCTTATATGAATTTGAAGGGTTTTCATAAGAATTTGTAGTGTTTTCAGATGAATTTGTAGCGCTTTCATTGAAATTATTTTGTTTTGATTGAAATTCTAAGATTTAAATGAATTTGAATGGTTTTGAAATTCGTAGCTACACTTGAAGGTTTTTATGAATTTTTTGAACAATTAGCACTTCCATTAATCAAATAAAACCATTTCCAAACGCAATTTCACGCAATTCTCAACTCGCAAATATTTTCAGCGACCCGGCATTAAAGCGAAATTCAATTAATATTCAAAAACAGTAGAAAACAAAAGAATAATGAGCAGACAAAGTGTTTTGGTACAATCAACTCTTCACATATGGGCATAACAAGGCGAAAAAACCGAGTCATACATGCGTATCAATATCAAATTTATTATTTATAATTTTTATAAATGTTTACATACAGCGACCGACCACCGTTTGTCTGAAGAGTGCAAGCAAGCAAGCTCGTTTGTTTGTCTTAGTCTCCTCACATTAACCTTGATGAAAACATTTTATAGGACGTGATATGTTTTCGAAAAAATTGTTATTTTTTGTTTTGCTTTTGCTTTTCTCATCTTTATCATGTTGTTTTTAATAAAAAATGAGACTGACGGGACCATAACAATTAGTAAAGAGCCTGACAATCCCGAGATCAACACTATTGCGCAACAATAATAATAATATAAGTTGTAACACAATTTTCATATGAAAAGCACGATACAAGTTCAAGATTATCATCATCAGCATGTGATTGATGTTCGCGTATGTGGAAAAAATATTCGAATGTAGAAATCTCATGAAATATTGTCGTTTCTTTTAAATATCTTATTTAAGATATAATAATAAATTTATTAAGAAAAGGCTGATTTTTGAATGATCCTAAAATAATTTATTACGATTTTTATTTTCATTTAGAATGAATCGTGACATTACTAAAGTCAAATAACTTTAATATACAAAAAACATTTCATTTATAACTTTAACATTAACATAATATTTAATAACCTTTGTTAAGTTGGTAATTTTTTGTTTGGTCGCATGAAGTACAACCTTTTCACGTATTTAATTAAACAGAAGATGAGAAAGTGATGATATTGTTAATTATTTAACTGTGGTTGAGGTTGATTGGAGTTTCTTATCCAAAACCGCGAGAAAAATGGAAAGTTTTTTTTCAAAATTATGAATTTTATTCGATTTGTGAATTCAAAACAATACAAATTCATCTTGCAAGAATAAAAATCATTTGTAAGGTTTTGAGTTATTTTTTTAAAAAACATTTGTATAGCTTTGACAGCCATTTCCAGAATTTGTAAAGTTTTAAAGCACATCTTGAATTCAAAACAATACAAATTCATTTTATCGAAAATTAAAACATTTGAAAGGTTTTGAGACAATTTCAAAACATTTGTATAGCTTTGACAACCATTTCCGGAATTTGTATGATTCTGAGATTTTTTTAAAAAGAATTTGGAGTGTTTTAAGACACATTTTAAATGAATTTGTATGGTTTTGTAAAACATTTGAACAGTTTTAAAATTGTATCTGTTAAGTTCCACCTCTCAATCAGCTTCAAAAACACAGTAAAATTCAGATCAATTAAAAATAATACTTGAAAATTAAGACTAGGTTTTTAATTCAACAATTAAATAATATAAATCTATTCATAGAAACTGATAGAATTGTCTTAAATGTAGTGCGAAATAATAAAGTAATTGAGAATAAAGATTTTATGGCTTACAAATAGGCCTAATTAAGATTTTCTAGGTAGTCCTTACATTGATGGTCAATAATGGTATGAAAATCTACAGCAGTAAAACTTTTTTTGAATCATCGCACACAAACAACGAGCGCGTGAAATCATAAAATATGTTTGTTGTTGGTATTTTTTAAGAATTCATTTGCAATTATTAAATGAAAAAAAATTAGTGTTTTTGGCTTTGAAGAGATATAAAGCATGAAATTTCTTGATTATACGTCTATGACGTAAAAATAAGAGGGCAACAAAACTAAATTAAATTAAATACTTAATAAAGACCGCCAATAATCCAAACAGCAGAAGACTTGTTGTTTTACTTGATGATGATGGTGAGCTGTTATAGTACTGACCTCCTATACTTCCTAAAGAAATTGGTGTTGTTGATGAAATAAATCCACTGCCTAATGTGTTGCTGTGAATATCGTAAATTGGTCCACTTCCACCGATATTTAGAATATTCTCTTCTGTTAATGACGGACGTCCAGTGTGTACATAAGAGATTGTACCAGTTTTGGATCTTAATATTCTAAAATTGACTTCATCTTCACGCAATCTTCCAGCAACGAAATTATGAAGACGATTGACTACTACATAAAGATATCCATTCTCATCAAAGCCCATACCTGTCATAAATAGTAAAAATAAACAATCTAGTCACATAAAAAGAGAGAAAACAAATCTCACCATCTGTCCATTGAATATGAACCTTGTCACGAGCGACAATTTGCTGATTATCATATGTAAATGGACGATAAGAATCCCATTTGCAAATTGCATGATTAGCAAGTAATCCAAAATACAGATATCCATTGTTGTCCATCGTCATACCGTCCGACTAAATATGTGTACAGCACATGTGAGTCAGCAAGACAAAAAAACAAGATAAAGCGATTGTGAAATGTTACATACCTGAGATGTTTTCAATCCATGATCAGTTACAGCTTCGAAAACTTGACGGGGCGTTGCCTTTCTTGCAAAGTCTGGGTCGCGAAGACGAGTCGCAGGTATTGAGTAAAGATGATAGCTACTTAATGGTGAATAAAAGACATTTCTTTCGTAATTTTGTTGCACTGAATAGCTGCCGGCAGCATCTGTAGTGACATCACCTGTTGATGGATTATAATATGGCCCTAAAGCTATGCCATCGATGTGAATTGAGAAATTTAAGCTAGTTCCATTCACAATGAATGATAAAGCATCCCTGTTAGCTCTCATTGATGTGCTTTCACGAACTTTCCATGCTCTATTGATTCTACGACTGAACACAACAATTCCAGGGTCAGCGCCGTTATTATCCGTAATATAAGCAAAATCACCATTAGCGTCATCGACGACAATTTTATTTAAATAATTTGTGCCTCTCGCGACAACTTCTTCAGGAAAATCGTATCGCAAAACCAACGATCCATTACGTTTCAAGTCAAACAGCATAAGTTTGGGATTACAAACGAGCTGATTGTTTGCTATATTCAGATATAGATGAAAATGTATGTATAATTAACCTTTTGTACTCATTATCATTGACATTCTAATTACCTGGAAGCAATGTGTTGACACGACCGCTATCTACTGCCCATAAAATTCCTCTAGCATCTATTGCAATTCCTTGCACGAATTGAAGGGCTGAACAGTTGCCGACTTGATTCATTGCCCAACTTGGGTACGGTTCAATTTCCGGGTCTGTTTTGCCGTTATTATCTGGTGCTATAAGGTAGCCTAAGGTTGCAGGCGATCCAGGCAACATTCGAGGAACCGTCTAGGAATTATTTAATAAAAAATATTAAAGCATGTTCTTGTGCAATTTACGTCACATTTCAATTGCTTTAATGAGTGTCGGAAAGAATCTTTTTTTCACAGGTCTTGATTCCGCAAACTTAGAAGTCAAGAAAGTTCAATGAGTCATAGAGATAATTATAGAATAGAGGATGTTTATTATAGCAAAATCAGCAATGACAATGTGAAGCACACTCAGAAGAACTACTTACCACATACAATCTGTTTGCGTAAGGCTTAATATCTGATATGATCACATTTTTGGGTATATATTCTCCTCTAAAAACAGCTGCAGAACGTTCTTGTTCATTGCGAAAAGCAAAGTCTAGTGTTCTCCATTCATAGACAACTCTAAATTGCCTCTCTTGGGCTGTTATATCTGGCGGAGCTCGATCTCGTTGCATTTTTACGCATGATGCTGTCACCAGCATTAAAAATATCACATATTTGACTTGTTCTGACATCATTATTGACGCTTTATTAATTTGTCTCTATAGAGATGGAGATGAATTTTTGATTTAATAAGATTTTAATCGCTTTATTCACTTAAATCTACTTTAATTAATTAATTCTTTATTGTCTCGTCAGAAAAGTCTAACGTTTTTTTTTTTGAAAATTGAAAGAATTTGTATGGTTTTGAAAATTTGAATAATTTTTTAACCGTTTTTTATTCAATTATAAAATGTCTGCTTAACATTTTACAGTAATTTATGCGAACTTTTTTTATGTCACTGAAAATCACATCCAATTAGCAATAATTCGTGCCTTTCTTTTAAGTTAATCCAGCCGATCTATATGTGTAAATTAAATTAACATCAACAACAGTTCATAAATTGATCATGTGTGATCTACTTATTTATTTTTTCCAGCCGTCACAATATTTAACTTAGTTCTCTGAACATCCATTAGCACACAATGAGTGATACACTTGATTTGATATTTTATTTTTCGGCAGAAATTATGAAATGATTTATTGTCGTTCAACTGTCGATTTATGAGCCTCAATTGCATTGACAAAGGCACTCGATTTAAATTTTATTCAACTCAAGTAATAAGCATGATCATGAATTGTCACTTAAACAGTTAAATCAATGATGCATTAACAAAAATAATGACAATAAAAAAATGTTCTTTAAATTCAAGGAAATTATCGGAAATCGTATTTAACTGTTTAATGCGCATTTAGATGTATTTAACTTTTTATGGATTTATATTTCACTGACTTAGTCACTCACTGTATTGTGCGTATGATAAGACGATTGTTCATGCACTGTCTCACACACTTGAGGCTATTTGATCATTTTTGGAACTAGATTTAAGACCAAAACAAATTTGACGCCTGTTTTCGCTTTGCTTGCCCTTTGAAGTCTTGAATATTCTCTAATTAGTTTATTGGATCACAATGGATTAATTTTAAATCTCAAATGGAGTGAGGGTCTACGGTTTAAATTTTTATTTATTGCAGAATTCAGTTCCGTTATACAAAAACCATACAAATGTTTCATAAAACTCAAATTTAAAATTTACGGTGCTCTGAAACCATACAAATGTTTCATAAAATTCAAATTTAAAAAGTACGTTAAAAAATCTTTAAAACAATAATTTGAATAACACAGAATTTTGCTTTAAATTAAGTACTTAAAAGTGAAATAAAAATTCAAGTACATCCGAAGGGTCACTTGAGGAAGTTTATGGAGGGATTTAACCACTGATTGTATTTTTATAGTTCTTGTAATTTAACACAAAATTACTCAACGGATGTTATCGTGAACCTCCTTAAAAATATGCAGGCATTGTTAAAATTTCACTTTTGTTTAAATATAAATATTTCGAAATATCTTTTTTTTGTCATTTACATATGAGTTACGGCACTTCCAAACAAATAGTACAAATATAATTTAATTAAACAAAAAACTTTCTTGTCAATTTTTATTTTTTAAAAAATTCAAATTTGCATTGAATTACAGAAGTACAATTTTTTCACATCACTTACATTTATTATCTTTTATTACACACAATTAATTTAAATATTTTAATGTTTAAAATTTTCAACGATATAACAAGCACGAAATCTCAGAAGAAACTAAGCTTTTTTCACACTGTGAGCATTTGCTTTATAGGAAATTTTATTAAAGCTTTTAGTTTTTCTCTTGCGAACATGCTTTGCCTGCTGATTTCTTAACATAAATGCCGGGTGATTTAATAATTTTTGTTGCAACGGTTTTTAAAAATTTGAATTTTTGAACTAGAACGAGATGAAGTTTGTGAATTTTGCAATTTTATCGATTTATCGCTTAATTACTGTGTGTTATGCTGTGCAATCAACAGGTAAGCATCCTAAACTAGTAATCTGTCTATATTTATATGAATATATCATAATCATACCGTAATTATCAATAAATCAGCGAAATAGTGAAAAAACGGTTATTCGAGCCCTTGTAAAAATTCAAATTTTCTAGGGGATTGTCAACTCAACGTCAGTGTTGCTTTGCATTTATATCGACAACAAATTTTTTTGTGTGTGTTTTATAAAAATATTAAAATTATTAACTTAAACGTCAATTTTTTTACATAAAAGTATTGAATCGTGAATCTTAAAGTATTTATTAACAAGTGTCGTGTGAAATTAAGTGTCTAAAAGCAATGAATCAACATAAATTAAGTATGTAAAATTTGTTTAATACCATCCAAAAAAAATAGCATGCAAAAGAAGCATAAACAAACTAGAGAAAAGAAAAAGACGTAAAAGGGATTCGCAAAAAAAGCAATTGCGTGAAGATAGAATATAGTTAAATTAATTAAAACAGCATGTAAAACATTTTTTTCGCTGAAATTGACTTAAAATCGTTTCTCACAGCTCAATGCCAAATGAATCACTTATATTTTTATTATTAATACCTGTTTTCATCACTTAACAAGCATCTTAGTCACTCGAACAGAATTTCGTATGTTTGTTCCTGTGTATTGGTAGGAAAAATGATCATAAAAACGCCTTAATGCGTTCACCCACGATAATGGGAGACTATAAATCCTCATTACATGCATATTTTATGCTGTATACCTACACTCTTTTGAAGATTCTCATAGCTAGATGTTTGTTATTTTACATTCACAGTCTGTCACAAGAACAATATAAAACATTGAGTGATGAATGCAAAAGTTCAATAAATGATAAGATATAGATTATAAATTATAGAGCAACAAACAACTACATAGACTATAATACTATGATATGTTAACACAATCAACAAAATTGCTACACAAAGTATTTTTCAGCACATTATCCAAGTAAATGCTCTACGGTTCTTGTTATTGTTTAAATGTTTAAATAATAAAAAATTAAAATGTAGAATAATGAAGCGAGCAAATAGTGTAATAGTGTACAATAAGCACTTAATACGTGTTAACACATAATGCTCATGAATTTAAATAAAAGCCATAAAACCAACCATGAGCAAGCCAAACACAATATCGTGCATTTGGCATTCTTAATCATCTCTCGCGGAGAAGAGAAGGCATTCAAGCATAGAAGAAGTAATGAAATTTGCATGACCGCATGACGCAATTTTATTTGGGTACAAGCAGAAAGATCGCTGATTGAATTGGCCCAAAAAAAAATAACTAATTTCGATCAAGTGCTGAAATCGCATAAATCTACGAAATTCAGACAACCACTTAACCAGTCATAAAAATTGCTCATGTATGTAAATATCTTCTTGCAAATCGCTGCTATAAAATAGTTAAGAGCAAAATTGAAATCCTTTTCTCTCGTCGCACAGGCTATAAATTTTTAATAAATATTTATTTAATTCATCATCTTCCTCTCACCACAAATTAAAATGCCCTCCATACAAATTGGCTTCTTATTTCTTCTTTCTGCGGCTGTATGTGCAGTTCATTGCATTCTAATGAAATTCTGTCGTATGCGAATTAAGAAATGCCTTTTTTGATTTTTTTGTGCCATATGTGAGTGATTCAATGAATTTTTAAGCTATAAATAAATGCTTTTTTAATTTAAGTACTTTCGTAATAGAATAAAATGTGAAAAATTTCTTTCTCATAATTATTTCAACGAGTTTTCTGCTTTATTTAGGCAGGGGCTCTCAAATTGTCTGTCCTGGCTATTTTTCAATGTTGTGCAATCCTATAAGTTTCGTCAAATTTTAACCGCTAATTTTAAAATTTGATGGTTTTCAAAAATTTGACATTATTTTTCAAATTTTTGAAATCCGTTATTTTTTAACGAAGAATTTTAATTCCAAAAGTGCATATTAACTTGATCGATTATTGATTAATTTTGATCGTTACATTTTAACGAAGATTTTTTGACTTAAATTTCAAATATTTTTGCAGCCGTTATTCTTTAACGAAGAACTTTTCATACAATATTCAAATTTTTTTGACAGTTATTTTTTTAATTGGACTCCTCATCACTTTTAAGTTTTAAAAGCTTGTGATGAGCCTTAAGCTACTCAACTTGTATTATTCTGAACATTAAAAATGCGCTTTTCTCACATAATCAACTGCTCAAGTCTTTAAGAGTTTCCTCATTTTGAAATGAAAAGTGTAAAATAGCATAAATCCATTCGCATGTTTGGCATTATTGAAGCATTTAAATCAAGATTACTCAAAAGAAAATAAAAAGTATCTTTTGTATGAACAAGAAGAGATTTATTTAATTCAATGAGTATGTTTTGTATTCATTGCGGCAGTTCATCTTTAATTATCACAAAACTCAATCATAGCATAATGATCGTTTTATGTGCCTCAACGGAATTTAAACATCTCTGCTTTACAAAAAAAAAAATCAAATCCTAACAAGCACGACCAAAACAAAGATGTTGTCTTCAGTAAAAGATCTCTGTTCGTTCGTTGTTTTGTCATAAATTTATTCATTTCATTAACAAAAATTCACGGAATGTTTTGACACAATTGTAAATTAAAATTATTTTGATTAAAAATTTCAAGCGCGTCTCACAGCTAACAGTAATTCATTTGCCGCATTATGAAACCCATGCGCTTCTTCGTCCCATTGAAATTTGTGTTATTTTCATCAAAAAAAAAAAAAAAAAATCCAGACCACTTGAAAAAGAAATAAGAAATAACTAATTCCCCCTTTTACGAATGGTGCCAACTTTCAAATGTGTAGTTTAGTATGGAAAATTCTTCACACAAAAAAAACTTCATATTACATTTCATTCTTAATACACATTGTCACTCATATGTGAGCCTCTGTACTTCAAAAAAGAAAAGATCAGGAGGAATTTTTTTTTTGTATTTTCCATACACAGTTCAACATTTGTTAATATACATTAGTTCTGGCACTGTTTATTATTTTACGCCAGTGTGTTATTCATGCTTTTTTTATTTCTTTTCTTTTTCTCTTTATTTTGATTGCAATTGCCTTCTCCGTACTCAATAGTCAGTCTTCATTCAGATTTCGTCTGTTATAGTTCGTGCTTCGTGCGTTTTTATTATTATTTTAGTTAATTAAAGAAGGTTTCTGATTTTTTGCAATACGTTGAGGAAAAAAAATAATAAATAAGAAGTTAGGCAATTTTAATTGTAAATCTTTTTTTTTTCGCAATTTTGCACGTTACAATTAATATATAAAAAAAAGTTTCACTTGTTTTTGCAACTTTTGGTGTGCAAACCTCGACAGAAAATAAAGTGCTTAACATCCATTAAATTGAAATTTAGAACACATCGAAAATGAGTGTCATTCTCAAAATCGATCCTTCGAAAAAGGATGTCATAATAAATACGAATCATAACGGAATAACAATAAACAATGCAAATGTAATGAAATGTAAGTTACACGCAATTGAACTTAGACGGAAATGAAACTCTTTAAATTATCAGCTAGTGACAATGGAAGTTTAGCATTCAACTTGAGAAAAAAAAAATAAGAAATGAGTGGTGCAAATTGCTTTGAAATTGTTGAATGGAAAATTACGATAAAAAAAACTGTTGAGAATTGTGATGAAAATGCTGATTGTGGATGAATATTGGCTTTAAAATGCTCAATTATTTTTGTTTAAAGTTGTTAATTTAATTAAAATGTACATTTATGAAAGTTTAAAGGCTGGAATACATTTATGTTGGATATTGGAATTTAATTATAGTTGATAAATGTTTTGAAACTCTCTCAAATGTGCAGATTAGTGTTAAATTCATTAAAGTTCAGAAATTTCGTTTAAATAAGTTTAAAAAACCTTCCGATGGTCAAAAATGCTCTAGAGCTATTCAAATGTTTCAAATTCTACACAGAACCATAAAAAACTTTTAAACCTTTCAAATGTTGATAATCTTGACCAAAACCTTACAATTTCTTTAAAGTGTTTCCTAAAACCATACAAATGTTCTTCTTCTTCTTCTTCTTAATTAACTTTATTATGGTCCATCAGCTTATTGCTATTTAAAGACCGTTCACAATTCCAGGTAGTTTAATTTACAAATATACACAAAGAACAATCAATAAAATCCAGTCAACTCCAAATGGTTGACAGAAAACATGCCCGCGATAAGTCAAAACAACAAAAAACCATCGCTAGGCAAAAAATACCATCTTCAGTTGTCGATGATCCAGATCCCTTGACAGTCCTTGTAATTTAACTTGTGATATTCCAAATAGATTCAATTTTTTCTTATGGCTCGATTGTGATCTGTCAATTTAATTAATATGATCTGCTGTATTCCGAGATGATCGATTCCTGTTTGTCAATGTTGATTTGTTGAAATCCAGTCAGCACCAATTGATTGATAGAATTGCCCGCGATATATGGGGAAACACACAAAACCCATCGCGAGACAAATTCTCCTCACAATTGACGATAATCCGTTGTATTCCAATAATATTCAATATGTCTAGGTTATGGTTATGATAGAACCTTCTTGTCCACGATTGCTGGTAAAACACAAAAAACCCACGTGAAACAATTGATTCTCTTCACAACTGCCGCCGATCGTGATTTGTCAATGTAATTAAATGGTCGTTGGTATTCCGATGATGATCAATTCCGTTTTATCTAGGTTATGTGCAAAATTTGCACATTTTTTTCCAATTTCAATTTATATCCAAAATATAAT